TGCTGGTGTTATCATTGATGTGATTCTCAGCTGCCTATGAAATTAACATTTTGTACTTGAGAAAAAATGGGTTCAGCTTGTTGTGTTGCTGCTAAAGATAGAGCGGTTATAAATGGATCAACGGGCGAAACTTTACAGAGCAATGTTCGATACTCGCCTTCTTGGAGCTTTCGTTGGGATAATCGGGGACGTGTTGCTGGAGAGGAGACATCAGTCAATTGGTCTTCTGATAGAGTTGGTGGAAATGATAGATTAGAGTTTAAATCTGGAACAACTGTAGAAACCCTTTATGCCTCTGAAGAGGGTAGTCCATTGGATAGTTTTCGATCACTTGCATTGCAGAAGTCACCAGCTTCTGATTGCAACACGGGGAACTCGATGCTTCCTCTATCTGGTAAACCTCAACATGGCTCTCTCTTTACCTTACTTGATGGTGCGAACACCTGATGATTTTCCAAAATGAAGATAAAAGGAACATGAGAGTACTTACTGTATATTGAAGAGCTTGCAAATCATTTTTCCTTTCTCTGTGATTTGCATGCTGCCCCCCCCCCCCCCCAGTGCATAAAATGAATTGTTCAATTCTGTGTGTATGCATTATGAGATCGAATGAAGGATAGTCTAGTTCTTGACCTGTTTTTTGCACTCCGTAATGAGAGAGCTGAACTGGATAGATGTGTAGGGGTTTGCTTTTGCAGGCTGTTCTGAGAATATCATTAACTTTTTGTTTTATGTTTGAGATGCTATTCAAGGTTAATCTAAGAAATCCAACCTAAGACTTTATTGCCATTGAGTGATATGGAGCTGGTTCACATCATTTGACTATAATTGGAGTATTGGAGTAAATTATTGACTTGTCACTGGCTCAAATGATGTAGGTGGTCCTTAAGTCTTATTGTTCTGTTAGTGTAAATATAAGTAATTGGTATTTTTAAAGCTTTGGATTAGTTTCCATGAAGTTGGGGTTCAAATGCTTGGACCAGTAAGCTTTTGATCTCCCAAGCATTTCTTTTTATTTTTTGTAAACAATTCATGATTTGTTGTGCTGCTGACATTTATCTCCAAGCAATGTTGTTTTCTTTGTGTAAATGATTTGATTTCAACTTTTAGTTAAGTATACACTACTGAAAGAAGATGATTACTTTTTCACTTCCTCCCCCTCTTTTATCTTTAAAACGAGATTATGCAATAAATGGTTGTGCTCTGTGAAGTTGCTTGATATTTCTTTCTTCTTTGGATATGGTTTTCGTTCTGCTTTTGGTGAACCATTCTCTGCAGCTGTTAAGAAGTAGTGCTGATTATTTATTTTTCTTTGCAATTTTTGTATATGGTAAACTCCAAAGCCCTCTTGTCTGAAAAGCAACGGCGGCCTTCTCCCTTCATTGCTCCTTTATTAATTTGAACCCCAAACATGTTGGTTGGATGTGAAGTTTAACCAAACCAGATGTGTAAATATACATGTCTAAGAGATGCCCATCTCTTATTGTACTCTCTAGGTCTGATTGTGACCAGAGTCTGAGTATGACCATGTGTTGTGAAGGAAAAAAGTTAGGATAAGTTTCCTGGCCTTGAGTTATATGTGAACATGAAAGAGAAACTGATGTATGGTATTGGTTGACAGTAATGTGCTTTTTGTACTTTGTAAGCTTAACAGTAGTTTTTCTTGCCCTTGCAGATACATCGGTCGTGAGAAATTCCACGGAGGTAAGAACAAGGCAGTCTTAAGTTTGGCTGAATATACTTTCTGGGCATGTCTAGTATGTTTTTGACTTCTCTGATTTCCTTTCTTTTGGTACTTAGGTCAAAGAATCATTTGAGTCATCAGCAGTGCCATGCCCCTCTCCTTTAAAGCTGTCTTCATCAGATCTCTCTGTTTCATCATTATCTGCATCTCCTTTATCAACAAAAAGTCAGTTGCTTCCTGCCAATTCTACTCCTTTGCCTCAGTATTCTTCCGGCCACCAGCTGGGACGACGAGTTTCTGATAGTCATATAGCCGGAATAAAGTCACCTACATTCTCAATTTCTGAAGAATCATCTTCGTTCATGCTCCCTGGTTGGAGTAATGAATCAACCAGGGGCTCAAATGGTGGATCATCAGATGGATGGTCTGTTCCCGCCTTCTCTGACCTGCTTGCAAATCCTCGTAGAGATAGGTGGTCATTTGATAGTGAATCCATGGGTTTCCACCGTGACAAGATGAGCAGAGCTAGTGGTCGGAGTTCTGGTTCTCCTTCTATAGATCTCCAAACCTGTGGCATTTGTACAAAGCTGTTAACAGAGAGATCTTCATGGTCCTCAAATGAAATTGCTGTTGTATCTGTACTGATTTGTGGCCACGTTTTTCATGCCGATTGTTTGGAGAGTATGACGCCAGAATTCAACAAGTATGATCCAGCATGTCCTGTTTGTACTTTTGGGGAGAAGCAGGCACTGAAGATGTCAGAGAAAGCATTGAAAAGTCAGATGGACTTGAAAGCTCGAAAGAGATTCCGGAATCGGGTTGTTGACAGTGATTTTAGTGGCAATCTTGCTTTATTTGATCGACAGAAAAGTGGCGGACATGGTGGAAGGCGTCTCAAGATGAGCTCAAGTTCCAGCAGTATGAAGATCTCTTCAGGAAAGCCCTTCTTGCTGCGTCATTTTTCATTTGGTTCAAAGGGGTCAAAATCCTTCTCCGAGAGCCCTTCTACTAGGAAAAAGGGTTTTTTCTGGACAAGATCGAGCAAGGAGTAATGCGGTGGATTATAATGGTAACAACATAAACTCTCTTCCGAATAATTTTTTTCTGGGAATATCCTTAATGTTCTCTTGAATGTTGTATTCTTCTGAAATTTAGTTGATGTTCTGGTATGTATAACTCACAAAAATGCTTCTCTATTGATGTATTTAATCGCATTTCTGCCTACTGAATTGCATTGTTGTCAATTCCGCAGGCGGCACAGGTCAGCTCTCTCACCTTGGAAGGATAGTAAGAGAGGCATAATAGCGTCAGGCTCTTGCTGGCAGATTTGGTTTCCCAGAATCTAGGTTAGGTTTCTAAGTATACAATGTAAGAAATTGGGATTACAAGTTGAAAGATCAATTCATTATATAGGAAAAGAAAAAAAAAGTGTAGTTATCAGCTGGTAGTTATCATGTTTGTACATTCAAATTTGGTTGTTCCTTGTCAAGGCCATGAAATTATCCCCAAGATTTTTGTATGCTTACTTCTCTCTAAAAACTTGCAGCAGATAACTTGACAATTTATATGCCTGCCCGAAGATGTAATGATTTTTTATCCATGGTATGTGGGATATATAGTCAGGGCATTTTTTTTTAAATCTTAAATGCTGACTGCTGTGCTCAAGAATCAGTCGCACCTTACACCTATCACAATCCCTATTTACGAAAATGCTATCAACTACTACTATTATTATTATTGTTACAGGAACATTCATTTTTTTCTAAATGACGGGTCCAGCATAAAGCAGTAACTCAACCCTTCTCGTTCCAATTTCACCCTGCCTGAAATGTAATTGCACTAACCAAAAAATTGGTACAGCAGAAGGTAAATAAACTAGTATGGTCCATCTTGAAGATAGTTTTTCTTTTCAATAGATTTAATCGGCAAATCCTATTTGAACTTTCGCCTTGTTTTGGAGAACATGTAATCCTCTCTGTTTCCCTTTACTCTATCCTAAAACAGTTTTTTGAATTGAAAAAAGAAACATATAAACATAACATGGAATGCAACGGAGCCGCTCAACTATGATATCACGCAGAAGTTGAAGAGTCCAACGTCTAAATGGTAATTTTTTCCCTAAAAAAGATATAACCGGTATTAAAAAAAAAAATTAACCAAAAACGCAAAATTACTCTCAAGGGAATGATCTCTTTCGAACAAAGATTAAAATAGTAACAATTTTATCAAAAAAACATAAAATTGACTGCTACATGAGTAACATTTTTCCTCAATATTTTTTTTTTAAAATTAAAATCACTGTCTGGGAAAGGGTAACGATTTTCCTCAATTATTTTTTTTAATTGTGCCTGTAGTGTTGGCAAAGTTTGCAGTTCTCATGGTGACAAAATACATTGAGATTCATTATTTATTTGACCTTTTCTTTTATAAATCAATAAGCAACAATTAAAAAAAGAATTGAGGGAAATAGCTGGCAGCAATTATAGTTTTTCAAAAACAACATAAAAAGTTTGAGGAGATTTCATTTTTTTTAAAAAAGTAAATTTTTGAGAAAAAAATACTCTATGAGTAGCGATTTCAGTATTTTTTTTACAAAAGAAATATTTTTTTGACAGCAGCGATTATAGTCAACGCATTAATAATGTTAATTTTATTCGATGGATATCGCTCTCTCAAAAGTAATTTTGTCATTTTGATTTAATTTTTTTAATATATCGTTTATGTTTGTTTAAAGGAAAGAGTTACCATTTTGTTAAAGAAAAGAGCGTATCGAATTTTGGATATAATAAACCAAATATTTTATTAGAACAACTTTAAAGAAGCCTATAAATAATTTTTTTCTTACCACGAACACAATGATAATTTAAAAATGTTAATGAAATGCAATAATTAATTTATATAAATTAATTAATAAAAAAGCTAAAGTAATACTCATAGATTATCTTAATATATAAGTTCATAGATCATAAATATAACAGTATATGTTTTTTTTTTTTTGGTAGGGTTGAAAGTCGTAGCGATAAGTTTGATTACGCGTTCCTCTCTTAAATGTTGCGTGAACTGAAGATAATGTATGAAGTGGAATTAGGCTTTAATGTTTAAGCCTATCTAAAATATACATAAGAATTTTATTGTCCTTTACCGTTCTAGTATAACGAGACAAATCTGATATTCATTTGTCGTTTTACACCGAAACACGTGTCTTGAATCTCCTACGTGGCAGCTTACGCGGTGATGTTCCTGCATACGTGTAACTATCCAGTTAAATGCAGTCATGCAGAAGCATCTGATGTTCCACCGTCTCTTGTCCTTTTAAAAAATCACCAGTTAGCTTTCCTATTCAAGGAAGATCTAATTTATTGTGCCAAATTATCTTTTTCAAAATTATCTAGCTTTTGGTGAAGGAAGGATATGGCGGACTTACGTGATGAACATGGAAATCCGATTCAGTTGACTGACCAGTACGGCCATCCAGTGCAGCTGACCGATGAATACGGTAACCCTATGCACCTTACTGGTGTTGCTACCACTGCCGGCTCTGGTGCTGCAGCAGTTGGTGAAAAATTGCCAGAAACGGCTAGCTATGGGGCTCCGACTACGGGTGAGAAGTTGCACCACACAACTGGCTTTGGTGCTGGTGATGCTGCTCCTACAACTGGGTTAGGTGCTGGTGCTGCTGCTCCTACAACTGGGTTAGGTGCTGGTGCTGCTGCTCCTACAACTGGCTTAGGTGCTGCTGAAAAATTGCACCATCCAACTGGCTTAGGTGCTGGTGGTCACACAACTGGGTTAGGTGGTGGTACTGCTGCTGGTGCCGGCTTACGTGTTGGTGCTGGGACAATTGGTGAAAAGTTGCACCAGGAAACAACAAAACCGGAGCAACAGCATCACAAGACGGAACTTCACCGTTCCAGCAGTTCAAGTTCTAGCTCGGTATAGTATATATTAAATTTTTATCATGTTCCTTCTCAATTCTCATCCTATATTTGTTTGTTTGAACAAACTATCAATTTATTTGACACATATTTTTTTTAGTTGAATTACTGAGATTTTATCCATTTTATAGTGGCACAAGATATATATAATATCATTAAATTACTACTTTGGTGCAGTCGGAGGATGATGGACAAGGTGGGAGGAGGAAGAAGAAAGGGCTGAAAGAGAAGATAAAGGAGAAATTCACAGGTGGAAAGCACAAGAATGAAGAACCACATCACCAAGCACATGGTGTTGGAACTGGAACCACAACAACTACTACACCAACTACTACAGAGCATGAGAAGAAGAGTATGATTGAGAAGATCAAGGAGAAGTTACCCGGCCATCATAATCATCACTAGATTAGATAAATCGCTGGGAATAAGAAGAATATTATTGTATTTATCATGTCGTATCTCTTTCTATTTTATGTAGTAGTGCTAGTTGCTTGTGTTCAGTTCAGTATATGCCATGTAATTGTTGTTATTGTACACATGAAATGTACCTTTGTTTCAGTTCCAGCTGCTATTAAGCCTTTCCACATATAATATGAAGGCATAAAATGATTTAAAAAAGGAGGAGGAGGAATGCCAGTATAAATTTAGTTAAAAGTAATTGTTTTAAATTTTAATGTAATCAATAGGTGTTACGGGGTTCAATAGTATGCAAGAGTGATGGGATTTTGGTTGTAGGATTCATATTATGCAAAGCTAGTAAGATTCTAATTATCATTGACCGCTATTGGTTTAATGATTTGATCATCATATTAAGTGATGATGTGTTTCCTTTTATTGGAAGAAAAAACTAAAATTAGATTTGAAGAAAAAAATTACCAAAACTAGAAATTATATGGACAAAAAGATTTTATTTTTTTAACTCCCTCCTTTAGTCGAATAATATATTTAAATTAACATCAAATATATTTTTCATAATTGTAAATATTTTGAACTTTATTTAGAAATATCAGATTTTCGGGATAACCCAACATAACAATTTTTAAAAGGTGGGAGTAATTAATAATTTTCTACAGTCGAAACCCTACTAATACGATCTGAACCGATAACCCTATTAATCATAGATATTGAATAATTATAAAAACAACAAACAATAATATGAACCATTAACCTAATAATCCTATTATTTAATTATGATTGTTAGTTTGACTCAACAGCTATAATTCAAATATATATTGAATGATTTATTAAAGGACAAAAATAAAATAAAATGATGTTTTAAAAGGAAAACAATAAACAAAAAACGTTACGTTTGGTGGAAAACACATCATCTTCCATACTTGCCCTTTTCATTCAATAAGCCGCTTTATTCATTACGCATCAGTGCTCTTTCTTACTCTCAACTCCCACCCGATCTTTGTCTCGTGAACTCGGTCCTTTTCCCGCCTATTAAACAAAGCCCTCCAAATGCAGATGCTTTCTCAATCTCACTTCCTTTCTCTATATCCCCGCAACTCTTCACCTCTTTCCTCATCATTCTCCGCCTTCTCCGGCGGCTGTAATACCCGGAAAATCGTCTCCGGTTCGCTTGCTTTTCAACATTCCGGTATCCATTCGTTCCCGATCTCGCACGGAATCAAATTGGCGTCGCCTGTGATGACTTCGAATTGTGTGCTTCCTTCTAATCAAGCACAAATCGTTGATTTTGGAGTTGAGGACTCTGAGCTCGGCAAATTCGCAGCTGTTGGTAACAAAATTGCTGATGCTGCTGGTGAAGTAATCCGTAAATACTTCAGGAAAAGCTTCGATATTCTCGATAAAGAAGATTTAAGTGAGTACGCGGATAAATTGCTTCCGGAGTTAATTTTTTAAGGATTTTTACTTTTTTAGAAATTATTTTATATTAATTTGTGGTTAAGGTCCGGTAACAATTGCTGATCAAGCGGCGGAGGAATCCATGGTGAAGATAATTCAAGAAAATTTCCCGTCCCATGCAATGTGAGTTAGTTGAGCTCACACAAGTTTTGATAGTGCTAGTATGATAGTATTTGATTTCTAATGCGTGTTTGATAAATTAAAACTTCCCTATTTTAGTGAAGTCGATTGCCGGAGCTGAAAGTGGCCTGTGGTTGGAACGAGCATTTTCAGCTTGGCCTCTCTGTTGTTTTTAGTACTGTTAGCATACGATGCTTGTTATTTGTGAACATAATCTTACACTTGCCATTGGAGACAGGTCACCATCTCGTTTTGGTTATGCACTTGCTGGAATCTTATTTTGTGATATGCCAATGTGTCTCTACCGAGGACAAAAGTTGTCTAGAAAAAGTAGAGATACTGTACAGTTAAATGATCTTAGTCGGTGTAACCAATTACTTGAAGGTCTTTTTGGCTTGCAACAAATATCAAGAAGCCAAAAGCTTTGTATAGTCTTTGACATTTTCCTCCCCTGAATTGAACTTTTTCATCATTTGCCTCTGAACTTTGATAAGGCTGTAGTAGAATACAAGTGAGGTCTCCGTAAGTTGAAGTTTTAACTGGTACTGCTCAGTCTATTTACTTGTATGATGCCGATACAGAAGGTCAGAATTGAGGAGAGAGCATTCATTCGAGATGATAAGATAATCCTTGTAGTAGTCGAATACCTTCCACACTTCTAGGAGATCCACAAGCTAGAGATGCCTACTCCAACGAATTTGTTCTAAAATCTAAGGGAAATGACTTAATTTGACAGATATGAGTCAATGCAACTCTTGTAGATCCGTATATGTTCTTGATATTTTGCAATATATCATGGCCAGCGTGTTGTCTATATTTGATTTAATTCGTCTTTATTTCATATATCAAGCCATATATGTATGTTTGTATGTTGAAAATTTGTCTGCTTGGTGATAGTTATGGAGAGGAGAAGGGATGGAGGTGTCAAGAGGAAACTGCAGAGTATGTTTGGGTTTTAGATCCAATAGATGGTACTAAGAGTTTCATCACAGGTACCTGCTTGTCTTTCTCATATCAAGTCTGTTCAACTTATAGTTCAACTATACATTCATAGGGATACCTCATACTTGCAGGGAAACCTGTGTTTGGCACTCTTATTGCTCTGTTGTACAAAGGTAAACCGGTATGAATCGCCAGCCAGTTGATTGTATTTATATCAATAAAAAACCTTGCTCGCTACTAGATCAATGAAAGCTTGCTTTTTACTCCTGTCAACTTTCAATGTTTCTCCCAAATTCTGTTGGCATTGTGGCAACATTTGTTGGCGGGAAGCCTAGTCAAGTATTTACACTAAGAAGGCGTCTGTTGGCACACTTTTGATTTGTAACTGTAGCTAACAAAATTTGCTCTTAGTAGAACCTATAATCTTGTTTAACTTAAAAAAAAGTAAAAGGAAATAGGTACTCATAATTTATAAACAGAAAGTAACAGAGAAAGGAAAATTGAGGACATGATATTTTGTGTTTGGTGGACTAAATACAACTGAGTATCCCTTTTGAGAACATGCTTAATCACCTCTTCGTTTCGTTTGTCTCACATTAGTAAAGTGCTAAATCATTTGGTATATGCATAGTTCCTGAATGCATTAACCATTTAGCTGCATTCTTGTATAGACGTCCCCTTGTCCTGAATTTAGAAATATTGATGTTTATCTATCATGTAGATTATTGTATTTTATATCTTAGTAGGTTGTCAGCGCAATAACATGTAGGTGTTTTTTTCCCCTATTGCCATCTGGGCTCGCTCGCGTTAGTGTTTTGCTCTTGCACCACTTTATTTAGCTTTCCCTTGATGTAAGGAGAGTTCCAGCCTATGATACCTTAGGTAATCTCCTTTTATATTATGCTACGGTAAGACTGTGAGACCCACTATGCAGGTAATCTGTGGTTTCGAAAGTTGGTCTATACATGATCATCTCTTCATTTCTGCTTTTCTAGATTCTTGGCGTTATTGACCAGCCTGTACTGAGAGAGAGGTGGATTGGTTTAAGCGGGCGACGAACTACCTTGAATGGGCAAGAAATATCCACACGCAACTGTTCAAGTCTTTCAAAAGCCTACATGTATGTTTCTCCTTGGAACCCTTTCTCTCCAAAAATACAACATTGTTACTCTGCTTTGTTTTTTTTCTGAAAAGGTAAATGTTTATAAATAAAGGTACCAAGAAGGGTAAAAACAGCAGACTAGACGACTGCCTGCAGCAGAAAAAGAACTATATATGTCCTATATCTTCTAAGAAATTACATGCTCATCCATGTTTCCCACAGCACTCCTTTTACACCAAAAAATAAATTCACAAGACATCTATGTTTATATCCTGGATGCATGTTGTTTTGTCACTTCAGCCATGCTGTCCATAATAAAGACATGTAGGGGAATTCTTCTCCGTATTGACTGCTGACTCTTAGCCACTGTCAGATGTTGCAATTTCTTCTGTAGACTCCCCTACATTTGGTTGCATAACGCAATTCATACTATTCCTGTTAAGGTGTAGCTCCCAACACTACCTTGCCTTCACAATAAATGAGAAGTTGATTGGCTGTTTCTAACTCTTCTTCACACATGTAGCATCTATTACTTAAAATAATGCGTCCCTTCTGTAGATTATCCTGTGTGAGACAAGTTCCTTTGCTTTTGTTTTCCATTGCTAATCTGATTCATACATCCAGTGTTGTTTCTGTAGCATAGTGTAACAACTGTTGACATTGAATTTTCCATCATTGCTTGCAGTCCAAAACATTGGATCTTTCTTGTTGCCCTAGAATTTAACACCGTCAAGCATTTGTGAGCAAATTCATCTATTTCCCTATCAGGCCCCTTCTAAAGATTAGCTGCCAACCATTATTTGAGTACTTGTATTCTGTGTATCAGTTCAACTTATCAGGGATACCAATATGTGCTGCATCTACTTTCTCATTTCCGTTCTTTCAAGTTCAGGTACACTACTAGCCCACATTTGTTCGAAGGGGATGCTGAGATTGCCTTTGCTCGTGTTAGAAGCAAGGTATGTAATATTATGGCAAGATAGGCAAAAACTGTGGAAGGAGCAAGAAGGGAAATGAGATTATCTGAGTAGGAGGAAACTAAAGAGGAAGAAGAGAATGAATAAGTTTCACTTCCTTTCCCTCCACTATGAATTCTTATTCTTCCTGCATTCTGTTACAGGTGAAAGTTCCACTGTACGGATGTGACTGCTATGCTTATGCCCTATTGGCTTCTGGATTTGTGGATCTTGTAGTAGAGTCTGGTCTTAAGGTCAGCTACTCTGCTCTCTGCGCTATTGCATAGATTCATAAAGATATGATTATACTTGCCAAAAATGTGTATGAGCTTCATCCTTCCTTATAGAGGACAGCAACCATATTCTCATTGACATGTCAAATGGAGTGATAACTGTTTAGTGTTTCTGTATATCAATATATTCCTACTGCCTGATAAATATATTGATGCAGGGTGAAAATTTTGCTGTTTTACATCCCTCAGCCAGTGACATTAGATTATCCGTACTGCCTGATAAATATATTGATGCAGGGTGAAATTTTTGCTGTTTTATATCCCTCACCCAGTGACATTAAATTGTTTTTTTAACTTCCATAAAACCTCTTATGCTGATAATAAAAAAAAAAACAATTTCAGCCGTACGACTTCCTCTCACTTGTACCAGTAATAGAAGGTGCTGGAGGAACAATAACCGACTGGAAAGGCCAACATTTTAATTGGAAAGCTTCTGCTGGTTCACCAGCCACAAGTAATTCTTAGCTCTGTTCTCGTTTCATACACACAAGCTAACCTTTGGATCCCTTAAAATATGCCCTCCAATTCGATATGTGAATTGTTTCCAAACTTCACTTGGCAGGTTTTAATGTAGTGGCAGCCGGTGATAAAGAAGTTCACCAAGAAGCTCTGGATGCATTGCAGTGGCGGTAGAGGCTGCTATGTTTCACTGTATTGGCTCACAACTCCCTTTGGCGAATATCATAGTTATTGATTACTTTGCCGCTGAGTCTCTACATTAATTTTAACTTTTGAATCAAATTATGGTGGTCCTCTGTTGATAGTTATTTAATCAGAATGCTTACTTGCATTTCCAGTTCCTTTTATTTTACTACAAAATATAAAATTGGAGAACACAAAATACTGGGTTTCACAATTAATTAATCACTTGCGCTTCCTCAATTTTAATTAGACTACAAAAGATGCTGAGCTGAACAGAGTTGATTTGATCCCTCTACTATATTACACCCCGTCCTTTCCAGACCCACATGTTGGTATACACTAGGTGGTTGTTAAACTTTTTTGGGGGGGCCTAATGCCAATCAGAATTCAGTACATAGCAACCAAAAACCAGTAAATAAACATCCATTGTATTCTATTCTACCAATCCTTCAACAAAACATAATGAGAATGAAAACACAAGAAATGCAGCTGCTTTCAGAGAAAGAGTTGGCTGCATTACATAATTTAAAATACAGAATAAACAAACTCAAATGGTACAGAAAACCAAAGACCGCATCTGGCGCTATCATACCATTGAAATTGGTCCATGGCATTCACCCACATGCTTATTCCTTGCCAAAATCAGCACTGTAGTGAGCACTTGATTCAAGTTTCTTTGCTTCATTCAGTTTCCTTACAGCCTATAAGAAAGATGTCTCAGGCAATGGAATATGAAAAATAATACTTATTGAAGTACTAGAAAACACTAAGTATCTCTCTGGAACAAAGTTCTAATAATGACATATAGGAAAAAGAAATTAACTCATAACACTATCATAGTATAAACAGCATATCTTCTAAAACAAAGTTCCAATGATATACTACATTCCTTAGAGAAAGAATTTCCTTTAATTAAAATAAGAAATTAAGGGGTCAATTGGTAGGGTCTTAAAAAATAATGCTAAATAGAGTATTACTGGTACATTTGTGTTAGTAATGCTTTGCATTAGTTACATTAGTTATACATAGATTATTTCTTATGCATTCTTTGGTTTAATGTATTAAAAATAGCATGCATTGCATAAAAATATTTATTTACTATTCCACAATTGTGGTGGAGAAGACGTAAAAAAGACTGAGGGGCAATGGGATCTTTAATTGTGCTAATGCAAGCATTACTAATACCACAAATCACCATATATTAGTAAAATACACAACTCAATACACAGGTTGAAAAAAGGTACCAAACAAGGTACGTAACAAAGCTAATGCATGCATTATTCTTTAAAATTATGCACTTTACCAAACGACCCCCAAGCGTGGTACACAGGGTAGTTTACAGAATCTAAACCATAGTGCTTCACATAATAGCATGTGAATATAGAATTACCATGAATCACTAAATTTCTCTTTTCATTAACACGACCAACATTTTGGTAGCGTGAAGACCCCAATAGAGTGAACTTGAAAAACAGTCCGTCGGTGAACTTAAAAATTACTGCTTTCCTAACAGAAATTTCAGAAGAAAAGAAAAAATTACCTTCATGAAATCCTCATGGATGACATAATCACGCTCTGCACGAATTGCAAACATACCAGCTTCAGTGCAAACATTCCGCATATCAGCCCCATTAAATCCCTGAGGTAAAACAAGTCATCAGAAACTTTGATGCAATAGAAGCAGTACCATAGTGTTTCTTGTTAGCATCATTAGCAAACCTCAGCGAGCTTAACAGCAGCCTCATAATCAATTTCACCATGTTTGGCAATCCCAGCAGCATGGATCTTGAGGATTTCCATTCTTGATTGTTCATTAGGCAAGGGGATTTCTATCTTTCTATCTAATCGACCAGGACGAAGAAGAGCTGGGTCCAAAACATCAGGTCTATTTGTTGCCATAATCATTTTTACCTGAAGATAGAATAATGATTAAATAGGTTCAGGTGAACAGACAATATCTTCCTCCTGTTTCATGCATTCTACTCTTTCTTTAGGAAATTTCAAATGTTATAAATCAAAAAGAATCTAAGCCCTAAGGTCTCTCTCTCTCACACACACACACAAAAAAAAAAAACAAGCACCCAAAAGAAAAAACCAAGAAAGAAAACATAAGCATAGGGTCATTTAAATGGTGTATCGTTTTATGTGCAGATTCCAACAGTATGTTGATAAGCAACCAATCTCCTGCCTTAAATAAAAAAAAACCAACTTGAAGAAATCTTTTTGACACGGCAGGGAAAATCAAACTAAGAGAGTTCAAAGAGAAACTCGAAAGGATGCACATCTTAGATCATGGACAATCACAACACATTTTCATGGAAATATACATTTAAGATCAATATAAACCTTTCCAAGCTGGTCAAATCCATCCAACTGATTGAGCAACTCCATGAGCGTTCTTTGGATTTCACGGTCTGCACTGGTTCCCTCACTAAAACGACGTCCACCAATTGCATCTATCTCATCCATGAATATGATGCAAGGCTACAAATAAAGATAATAAGTGTCAACATTATAAGACAACTCCGGAATCATTCATCAAGTCGAACACTCCCAATATATGCAGCAAATCTATTTGAAGTCTTACTTGGTGATCACGCGCATAGTTAAACATTTCCCGAATTAATCTTGCACTCTCACCAATGTACTTATCAATAATGGCACTTGATACAACCTGCAGCAATCACCAACTTGTAAAAGGCCACATAATGAGATGCTATTAGACTGGAGATATTACTAAAACTCTAGTACACAGACCTTTAAGAAATTGGCATCTATGTTGCTAGCGATTGCCCTGGCTAACAATGTCTTGCCTGTTCCAGGAGGCCCGTAGAGAAGAACACCCTGAGACAGAAACCTCGGTCCCCTCAGAAGTGATATTACAAGCAAAAGCATAAGTACATGCCGACAAATGTATGATAATACAGTTATATTTAATGATTTACCTTTGGAGGCTTAATCCCAACCCGGAGGAAAAGCTCAGGGTTCATTAGAGGTAACTCAATGGATTCTCTCAGCTCCCTGATCTGATCTGACAGTCCACCCACGGCAGAGTAACTGATGTTGCCAGGATCTTCATGAAGCATGTTGTATACAACAGGATCAACCTGCCATTAATTTCTCATCATTAGGTATTTGGGGTGGACATACGTAAAAATTATAAATGTACCCGAGACATTTAACGCTTGCAAGCAAAATAGAACTACTAACTTCACGGGGGAGTGCCCGCATGATTGTAAGTGTTGTCATATCGAGAACCACTCTTGTGCCTGAAGTCAGTTTTTCCTTGTCCACTTTACTGCGACAGCCAACTACATACCTCGGACCACTGCTAGCTTTTACTATCACTGAAAAAGTAGTGGAAGATACTGATTAGTCCCATAGCTTCATGCTAGTTTCTTAGTAACTTATTTTATGTAAAAATAAAAAAACAAAAAGGAAAATAAGCACTTTGTGATGAATAGTGCATTCCTTGGAGCATGAAAGTAAATAAATATTAGTCAGGATAAAGGGTACTTACAACGCTCATTATCTAGAGGTCGGAGCACTTCTCCTATGATCTGTCCAACACTTTGAAGTGACTTCAAATCATCTTCTGTTTTAGCATATTCCTTTTTGGTAGCCCGCAAGTTCTCTCTCACTAAGAAGAGTAACTTTATAATCAGTAATAGAAGACCAAAAGAATATGAATATTATGAAGACCAAGAATTAAGTTGCTTATTAGATTATGGGAACACAACATAATAAAAGGAAAAAATAGCAAGGAACAGCACTCAAGGGTGTGACCTAGTGGTCAGCGAAGTGGGTTAAGACCATGAACCACAAGTTCAAAACCGTCAAATCCTAGCATAGAAAAAAAAACTAAGTGATTTCTTCTCATCTGTCCTAGCCTTGGTGGACTAAGTTACCTGGCACCTGTTACTGGTGGGCGGTGGCAGGTATTCCGTGGAATTAGTCAAGGTGCGAAAACTGGCCAGACATCAAAGTTATCAAAAAACAATAAGAAAATCAAGGAACAAGCATGAAGTAATACAAAATATATCAGTAGCCCCGTATCACTAATAACAAAAAACTGATCCACAAATTGCAAACTCTGATGTATAACAAACGAGGTTATACGAACTCCAAGAAATGAAGGACAAAGTCGGAGAATATATAGGGCGAGCACATGCATACGCTCCCATTTCCAAATAAGAAACTTTGGTTTAAGAGGGTTCTATAGTAGAGATCTGTACCAGAATAGCTACACCACCCTTTCTGAACAAAAGGATAGATGATTTTATTAGATTAAAATACGTCAAAGCATGCTTAAATAGAATATCGGGCTATACTTGGTTGACTGATGAAGTAAGACAACCCAACACAGTCGCACTTGTACAAATGGAAACACCAAACAAATACGCATGATCTAGCCAATGGTTTCCCCCAAAGAATCCCCCGTCAATCATCAGAAGAGGAATCTATTGTGGACTTATTCACTTGCATTGTCTTGTCTTATTTGGTTTTTCACAATTTTTATCCCCAAAAGTTCTGCCTAAAGCTAATCACTTATGATCTACTTACCTGAAGCAAGTAAAAAGTGTAATATTGGTCATTTTTTGAAATTGTTGGCAACTGGTAGCGTGATAGCATCCAAGGGAGCATGCATAGAAGCTGACCTAGAAAGCTTGGACATACTTCACGAATACTTTCATGTGCTAATGTTATTGGAAGATGACATGGGAGTCATACGAAGGACCAAAGAAACCAAATTTAGTGTTGAAGTGCATTAAACTTGAAACTAAAGCACGTATTTGTGCCGCAGCACAAAATGTGTTGCACAAAGTAGAAAAGTTCAAGGATATTTTGGTCTTTTTCAGCATTCCCAGTTGTTCCTTATTATAAATACTTTTAATCATCCCAAGGATCTTAATTTTAGCTTTGGAGAAGTTGAATTATGAAAAGCTTAGCCTAAATTTAACCCTTCCAGAACAGAATACAACTTGTGTGTCAATAATCCTGCATTATATTACAAACATTAAAAGTTGCGTGTCAATAACCAATATGTTTACTCTTTTGCCACAGAAAACACAATATCTAATCTGACCTACGATAAAAGGAACATCGAAAGAACAAAAACCCTAACCATCGGAGCTGAATTTCAATATTCACAAA